TAGTTTATATTTATAGTATGAAGTTGTTTTGGATATATTCGAGCTGTTCGGAGTAGGATGATTAAGGGAAAGGCCTACTAGTGGATTGAGTTAGCGTGTTTCGAGGTAAGTGTCTTGCCTAACCTTGTATGGGGGAATTACCCCTTAGGATTGGTGTTGTTTGTGATAATGTGATGTGTGAAAGTTGTGTACGCAAGGTGACAAGTGTGTGCACGGGCTAAATATGAAAATTTACTGGTTTTAGCTATGTAGATTCCTTTCATGCCTTATTTGAGTTACCTTAACATGTTATAGTCATCATTTCTAGTCTATCTTCACATGCCCTACTTGTTTTATCTCTTACTTGTTAATTGCCCTACATGTTTAGTTGAAGTTATTGTTGTTTCCTCTATTCCTTATTCATTATTTAACCGTGAACCCTTTACTTAAAGTTGTTATTCTTGCAATATCTTGTTGATGGAACTGGTATTGAGTTATAAATGTTGTGATTCACATTGAGGCAAAGTGTTAAGTTGTGAAATACTATTCTATTGAGTTATTCACTTCCGGTTGTTATTGTTGAGACTCTTGTGTGCATTGTGGTTGAGCCATGAGTTCTTTATTGTGAAAACACTATTATTGTTGATTTCTTTGGCAAGTTGTGATATTGGTCACTTGAGGTGCGATTTGTGATACGTTATTATATCGATATGCATGCGGTGGTATAAGATTTTCGGGTTGAAACGCATGCGGTGAGATAAAGTGGGCTTGATACGCGTGGCTAGTAGGGGAACTACTAGAAGCCAAGCGGTGTGATAAGGTGGGCTAAAACGCGAGATGCTATTTCGGGAAAATGATTTTCAAACTAAATGCAAAGCTCCCGCGGTGATATAACGAAAGATTATGAATTATTCTTTTGATTTGAGACTACGAGGCAGTTACCTTGGTTACGTGTTGGTTTTCTCTGTTGCTGCACTTGTCCTTGGTTGTTTTGTTTCGCTAGCATATCATTCCTTGTTCTTCGTGTTGCATTAATTGCTTTAGTTCCGTGTAGCTAACCTTGATATGTTATTTGTCGTTTCAATTTCATTGCTATCATTACTACACTGTCATACACTTGTACAGTTTTTCTTATTTATTCTAGTAGGGCCTTGACCTGACCTCATCACTACTCTGCCGAGGTTAGGCTTAGCACTTACTGGTACCGTTGTGGTGTACTCATGCTAAGCACGTCTTTTTGTGCAGATCCAGGCACCTTTACCGGCCCAGGTAGAGAGCTCAGCTTCAGAAACTTCAAGGTATACCAGTCGGCGTCCGCAGGCCTTAGAATCTCCCTCTGCCTAGACTATTCTATTTTCCTTATCCTTTATAGACATTGATGTATAGGATTATTCAGTACTACTATTTAGAGCTTGTGACTTGTATTCGCCAGGTTTTGAAAAATTGTATATACTGAGTTGCAGAGTTTCTTTATGTTAAATTGTTGAGTATTTGAGAGTTATTTGTCATTTCAATTATATTCTGCATGTTTTGTTAGGCTTACCTAGTCTTAGAGACTAGATGTCATCACGACATCCGTCGGAGGGAAATTGGGATCGTGACACCGATCACCGGTCTCCCACTTGAAGGGGGTGTTGCCGGAGCCTCCGCCGAAGCAATAATCTTATCAGAGGAGAAGGTGGAACTAGCGGAGAAAACTGTGTCTTCTATGTGTGATTTAAAAACAGTAGACTTGGTCCAAAGACAAATTAGATTCGGACATATTTGAGTAAAGTATTTTGGGTCTAGGTCGCATATTTTTTGGTCTCTCACAAGGTTTTGGGCTTACTGTTGTTTTCCTCCAAGGAGCCCAACAATGCTCCACCAGATTAGTTGTTCAATTGTTTTGTTCTTATCTCAGAGAATATTAGAAGCTTCCAGGTAATGTGTAGCTGTACATATTTTGGTTAAGATTGTCAAAGTTAATTAGGAGATTTTTAATTTCATTTATCATTTTCTTTATTCATTGAAATACTTGTATAAATAAGAGCTTGCAGATGTACAGAAAATACAATGAAAGGAAATATAATTGAAAATCCTATCTAGAGTCTCTCCTTTTTCATCTTTTATGAGCAGTAAGTACTTATGTCAAGACTTGTTAAAGTATCAATTATTTTTTACCTTTTCAACAAACAAAGTATAAATAAGGAAAATAGTTGAAGAAGCCAACATGATACCCCAATTTTTTAGGATTATGATATAAAATAAATTTTGTGTCTGCAGCCTTCTATAATCACATGAGATTCTTTTCCTTTTTGATCAACATATGAATTCCCAAAAATAATTTATATGATTCCTTGAATCGGTTTAATACTATAGCGCTTTTCTTGCAACTATTTAAGTACTCTTCCCTGGATATTCTCTTCCTTCCCATAGTCTCTTCCTTGATAGAAATAGAACTCTAAATATAAAACAGGTCCCGAGCCAATTAATTTATTCATTAATTTTGCAATGGAGCATCCACGTTTCTACTCTCTTGTTGAGGGTAACCTCCGCCCTATTTGCTATCAACCTTTCCACATATCACCATACACATCAGAAATTCATAGTCGCGAAAGCCAACGAATTGTCTTTCCAATGGAATGTTTTGCACATCCAGTTCATGTGGACTGCCTCTTTTACTACCGTGACGTTAAAAATATTACTGACCTGAAGTGTTTTACATGCAAACGTCCATTAGAGGATGAAACCGGCTTTATTTATTTCAACAGCATGTAGCCGCCTCCAACTTGCTTAGAACCACCAAATCTGCAGTTGCCATTGGCACCTGCAGTTATCCCTCTAGGAAACAACGGCGAGATGCTTCTGAATTACCCTTCTGGTTGCTGTGAGTATCCACACTTCCGCCGTGAGTGGTTTATTATAGCTGAACCCTGCGGACATTCAATACATACAGGGTGTTATTTGAATATGTTGTTGGGAGATTAACACGCCTGAACGTAATCCTACTACTTCAGTTCACTGCCCTACTTGTCAAGTTTTGATTGAAAGTGTTTCTTCTGGTATTGTACAAAAATTTCCTGATGTTCGTCCTGCTCGATCGGAGGGTTTGTGAATTGTGAAGTAGCAGCATTTCTGTTTTGTTCTGGTGTTTGTCTAAGTACTGGATTATTTGGGTGTTTAGTTAGTCTTTAAATTATTGTTTGTTCAAGTGCCTCTTTAAGTTTTTTTTTTCACCTGCCTCTAAGCTATTTAGGTGAGAGGGAGCATATTATTCAACTCTTTGAATAAGTTCTTTCAATTGTTGAGCACAAATTTATTCCTTCTGTAATCAGGGGCGTACACAGGTTATTAGGTAAGTGGTGTCGATATTTTTAAGAAGTGAACCTATGAACAAATTACTAAAACAAGATCATCTTAGTAAAAAAACACCCAAAAACATTAATATATTTATTTTTAAAAATATAAGCGAATAATTTTTGGTATTATTATTATGAACTTTTTCCAAAAAGCTCTTTACTGAGCCATGTTTGTATGTATTTTTTCACCACTTATTTTCATGGAATTTCACTAGACAAATTTTGCTGAATAGCTGGAACATGGGGTTAATTTCATGTGAACTTGTTTGACTAGGCACGGAGTTTAAGAAAAAATAAAGACTTTTGAAATTTATGGTCCTAAACAACTCAAAAAGGGGCCTAAAGTATTTGTGTGGCTATAAAATCTTTTCATTAAGGGTAGAATTGTAAGTTTAAGCTAAATTGTTTCCAAATTTAGAAATGGTTCATTCTTTTTAGAACATATCAAAAAGGAAATAGGTTCACATAAACTGAAACGGAAGGAGTATAGTTTTGTAAAAATTTCCAGCGAAGCGGTGTCGGATGCACCGCTTGCATGAACTTAAATCTGCCCATGTCTGTAATGTGAACTTCCTTCTCGCGCGCGCACACACACACACACATATATAGAGAAAGAGAGAGAGAAAGAGAGAGAGAGTCAGACTTCTCTACAACATCCCTATAACAATCATCCACTATAAAAGCCAAGTTTTTCCCGGAATCGATTTTTTTTGTTATGTTAAAATATATCCACTATAACAGCACTTCATTATAGCATCCAAAAAATATCAGAATGAACGAGGCTGTTATAGAGGTTTGACTATCTAATACAGTCAGACCTCTCTATAACAGAATTCCTATTTAACAACTATTTATTATAAAAGCCAATTTTTTTGGGGATCGATTTTTATGTTATGTTATAATATATGTCCTGTATAACAGCACTTCATTATAATTTATAAAAAAATATCGAAATGAACGCGACTATTATAGAGAGATTCGACTGTAGTTCCAGGAAATTAAATGCAATAATATAAAGGTAATATGGGTGTTTATATAATTTTGTGGAGTACTAGTGGGAAAAAATCAGCCCTATTTTCTTAGTATGGAAACCTGCATAAGTGCATAGTGACATCTGCGAATAAAAGGTTGAACATAAATCAACGAACTTCTGATGAAGATAAAGGGTGTGTTTGGTTATTTTATTGAAAAAACAAGTAGTAATCTTATTCATTTTCCGGTGTTTGGTACGCAAATTAAGAAAAATGATTTCTCAAGAGTATTCATAAATAATTTAGATATAATAAACATGAAGTCATAAACTCTCAAACCAACAACCTTCCAGACCCACAAATTTCATAAACTTTCGAACTACTAAACTTTCAAAACCGTGGAATTTCGAACCCGTAAACTTTATAATTTCTAAACCAGTAAAACAACAAAAAAAAGGAATTTAAATTACAAAAAAAAGTAAAAAAAAAAAATTAAGGTAAAAAAGAAATTTTTTTGGGGGGTAGTAGGGTGGGTGGTAACGAAAAATTTGAAATTTGAAAAAAAAAATTTTTTTGGAGAGGGGGGCGTGGTGGCTGGTGAGGGTGGGGAAGGTTGAGAAGAGTTATGGAAAATGTTTTCCTTCCTACCAAACACACCCAAATTCTTAAATAAAAGTAATGCTCATGAGTAGATTGAAACACAGACACAGAGTGACACAGCATTGCAATTGCAATTGAACATCAAACTCATCAACTCAACTACCTTGTTACTGTTCTCTAAAACATTCTTAAAAGGAAATACCAACTTCGACAGCAAAAAAATCCTGCTGATCTTTTAAATTATACGCGACAAGTATATTCAAGTTAGTGAATATAACTTCAAAATTATCAACTTTTACCTCACGAAGACAGCAAAATTACTATCTAAGAGAAGAAGGGCATCTGTTACGAAAACCAAGTCTATTAAGTTCCTCCAAGAGCATCGAAGGAGGTCGACTATGAGACGTACCTTGGGAACTACTCTATTTACATAAGACAACCCACATAATGAGCTCGAGGATGTTTCTCTTTCAATTTGGGCCATTGGACAAATAACTGATCAACCATGTGTAGCTTGTAAAGAAGCAAACCACTCAGAGAAAGTTTCCTGACTCTTGCAATGCTCTCCACATAGAAAACAGATGACCACCTTATTCCCAAGACCTGAAGCTATAAAGTTTCATTAGTATCTCAAATTGTCAGCTAAGTAAAACAAAAATGCAAGTAGCTTTACTGAATCCTACTGTAATGGAAATGATTGATTCACCCCTCACCGAGCTATCAAGGTCAATGATTCAAGCTGACAGAGATATCTCTAATCCATTGTTCAGTTTATTAACTGTTTTCTCTCCCTTTTCATCTATTTGTTCTTGTTTATTTTTCTCTATTTATTATTTTTTTAGTAGAGAAAGAAGGGCCAATGGTGGTTGGAGTATGATAGGATTACAAAATAAGCTAGAAATTTGGTAAATAGAGTTACCATTAACACCTACCATGAAGCCCCAAAAGAGAATATAGAAATGGTCCAATGACTAATGTACATTTAATGTCCTTTGTACAAATAAAAGTTAAGTGGGATTCATTCTGAAATCAAGCTTTTATAAGCCTGATATCCCAAATCAGGAATATAACAGATATGATCCATGTGTAACCTCAAACTTAATGGGATCAAACAGTTTAACAAGCAATTTTTTTTCATACTGAAGCAAATCGAAATAAATCAAAAAACAGAAATATCACTCTCAACATACGAACCTTAAAAAAGAAGGCAATTACACATAGTGGAACACACGTTCCTGGGCCATTGCACAAGATCTGGGATATCAAAAAATATATAAATCAGTTAAACAGGATCTTAAAAGGAAAAAAGAATCTGGAAATGCAGAAAAGTCGCGTTGGGAGAGGGGGTTTCCGAGAAAGTAAAATGAACTAAGATTGTCTGGTACCACTTTGGGTCTGATCTTGATCATCAACCACAATGCATGTGCAATAGCAATCAATGTCGTCCCAATGGAGGTAATATATGATTGACCAACTTCTCGACTCCGATATATCTGCATGAATTCAGCCCTTCCTACTGCATCTACTCCTGCCTAGATTAAGTGGTGAACCTGTTAATATACACATTATCAGGGATCAATCAAATCAATAAACTATGCCTCAATCCAAAGCTAGTTGGCTCGGTTACATGAATTCTCGGTATTCAGGCTCAACATTCAGAGATTTGCAAAGTTCACTATCTCTACGAGGGCCAATAACCTACTGCAACCCTCTTCCATTATCTAAAAAATAGCATCAAAAAATTTAGAGGGGGAGAAGGATAGAGTAGACAACCTACTAGGTTGCATATGTTGTGGTAGAAAGTAAGGTACTAAAAGAAAACGAACTTTTCTCTTAACCTGGAATTGATGATTCCAGAGTACATAAGAAAAGAGAGATCATTGTTAAGCTCTAAGGACAAATGCATATACCATAGGACAAAGCTGGGCAGGCACGTAATAGCTAAATGTTTTTAGCATAAAAAGGAAAAGATTGCACACATATGCATACTTTTCTCTTTTTCAGCCTCAAAATTATTGAGACAATAAGTGAGATAACGTTTTCCTATAGATAAACCAAACAATAAAAGAAAGACTTTGACAAGTGTAAGCAAAATGTATTTAGCCTACCAGATAGGCATAAAATGGAAGTACGCCACCTGACCATGTGGTCATGAAAGAGAAACTAAACAGATGTAGGATATAGCTCTAGATGCACACAACAGAGTCAGGTAGTTCTTTTTTCACCTTACCCTTCCCTGTAAACTGGAAACACGAAAGAAGAAGGAAAAAAGAATGCAAACTATTTTATGATTTCAAAAAGTATTTGTCCACCTATTTGGACAAAAATGAGATGGAAGTGGGAAAAGAATCTATTGAGTTGGACCTAAAGTTCAATTCGCCATCACATAGACATCAAATCCATATGCTAAACTCAGCTTATTCATGTCACAAATTTTCTCCACTTGTTTAGCCCCTGACTTGCGATCCTTGCCAATAAAGAATTTAGATTATGGTTAACACTTGGATCATCCTTCAAGCCAGCGATGCAAGGACAAATAATTGAGCAGATGGAGAGGGAGATAGCAACTTGGATGTCAAAACATATAGCATCTAGCTAATGAAGGCACACGCATCACCATTAATCAATGTGAATAAATCATTTGGGTGCTCTCTTTTGGCACCCTTTTGCTTCATCTCTATGGGCAACTATAACCAACAGGCATATTATTATCTGTGGGATCAACCCATAAAACTTGTTACTCTTCACTTCTAACACCAACCAAAGCACTATAGTGCTACATGCACCATTCATTTTTTCTAACAAGATAAATTCTTCAACGTCATCAGCTGGAAATAAACAAGCTATTCAGGATGAGAAGAGATAGTACAGCTAGTTACATTTGCACAAGGTGGCATCCTCTAGTTGAGATGAGGTGTTCTTTCAGACGTTAATTTTCTAAAAAAAGCAGGAACCACTGTAAAAATTAATATGCATATACGTGTTGCTTTTCGGGACTGATTAATTTCCAACTGAAACTAAACGAAGATCGATTTATTTTAAAAAAAAATGATATTTACAAGTTTAAAAGTCGTAAGAAAGTATACCTTAAACAGGACGAACTATATTTCAATTCCCAAACTGACTGCAATAATGTTAACTAGTTTTCAAAAACAATAATGTCTTTTCTGACTAAATCAATAATATGTACTTTCGTAACTTAATCTCGTATATATGGATGGCCACAAAAAATTAAAATAACTTTCATGTAATATATTGCAAAAATGAACATCACTAATAAAGACTTGCAGTGAAGAAATTCTGTTTAACGACCTTCTCCTCTGTCCACCACCTGGACCTTTTCAATGATAATATCTAAAAGATCTGTTGGAAGAGTTGAAAGAGAAGGGACTTACAAGATTTTGTTGGTAGGTTTAGAGAATAGCACTTTGTTGGCTTATATTTCGAGAACAATCACACTTAACAACTTGTTAGCAAAGACCTTTCTTTTATAATGCAACAAAGGGTAAACAAGCACATGCAACAACAATAGCCCAGTGCGGTCCCACAAGTGGGGTCTGGGGTAAACAAGCACATGAGTGTATTAATTGGTATATTTAGGAAAAGCTGCATGCATTCCTTATTAGTTCGAATATTCTAATCTGTATCATTTCAAGGAATGCTAGGTCCAATAGTTACAAAAAACACACCAAAATGAAGTATCAATACAAAATGGATGTTAATCAACAAAATATACGGTCATTAGTTACAAAATGGTCGCATCTAGTGTATATTGTATTGACATTCGGTCATTTTGTAACTAAAGATCATATATTTTGTCGATTGATAGCCATTTTTATTGGTTTACTTTATTTTGGTGTGCTTTTTTCCTTCAAAAGATTTCTATTTTTTGTTTAATTTTCTTGCAGTTTGCATTATCAAATTTTCTTGTCCATCCGCATCATATTAATCACAATGAAGTACAAAAAAAAATTGATAGGTAATTAATTTCAAAAAACGTGCCAAAATAGATTATTTTTTTTATGATGACCGAGAAATCCGTCTGGGGCCGATCCTTTGGACCAATCGCAGCCTTCGAAACTCGGTGGATAATGGGCCCACCCCTCTACCCTTCTCCACTTATATACCAAGCTTTGCTTTGCATGGTGTGGGGGCTTGAACCTGTGACCTAAGACACAAATCCACCACCTTTGCCACTTGAGCTAATGGGGTACTCAAAATTCAATTTTATGAAATTTCACAAAGAAAGATAAATAAATTTTTCTCAACCATTTTAAATTTATTCAATGTGGTGAATTTCTACTCAACTACTTTATCTTCTTGAAAAGACATGTCTGTTATAACCAACACTTGCCGCTAACACACTACTTTCGTACCCAATTTCAATGATGAATAAACACATCATGTATTAAATAAATGTTGATAATACTGACAAAAATTCAAGAACGAATGTAGTTTTCAGAAATACACCAATTAATACACACCTATTCATCTTGTTTATTCTTTGTTGCGCTATAAAATGAACATTTTTTTTTGCTAGCAAGCCCTAAAGTGGTGCTCTCGAAATATCATCAACAAAGTTTTATTTTTAAATCTACCAACAAGGTGTTGCAAGTCCCAAAAAAACTGAGATACCATCAGGATGTCCGAACCGTCTTCAAATTTTCCAACTGATCTTATAAAAATCCTCAAATCCAATATATGAGATGATAGTAACGAATTCCAAGAAATAATAGTAATAAAGGAGTCCGGAACCTTTTTATTGTCTTTTTGGACAAATGTGACGTTAATAAGTGTAAAAAAAAGTTACTTTTCTATATATAATGCCTAAATTCTCCGCGCTATAGTTTAACGGTAACTTTTGCCGTTAATGTATATTGCGGAGAATAAGCGCGCTATACCTTTTGGCGTTGGAAATCTGTGTGCTATACTCTGACGACTTGACTGCCAGGTATAGCGTTTGGAATTAAAACGATATACATATATAGCGTCTGAAATTAAAACGTTATACCTATTTATGGGCCTACCAATAAGTTAAATGACATAACAATAATTCAAATATGTATAGCGCACATTCAAAGAGCGCTATACATCAAAAATTTCAGCCTCCTGGGCTAGCCATTTCCTATATAAAGGGGTTAGGATTTTAGGAAAATCCATTCACAAAAAATTCTAATTCACGTTCAAACTTTTCTTGTTGTTAAATTCTCAAACATTTTTTCATAATATCTAAAGAGCGTAGAATAAGAGTTTCATTATATTGGGGGGGTGAGGTTGTGACGGAGAATAACTCTGTGAGGTACAGTTTATCTCCACAGTGTCATGTTAAATTACCACTTACAATGGAGTACGATAAATTGATATCGTTGTTATGCAAAAAAATGAGTGTGAGGAAACGTTCAGTGATACTTAAAGTAACCGGAATATATCCGTATTCCGTCACTCCGCAAGGGGTTGCTTTTTACTCGGAGTTAAACATCGACGATGATGAAACTTTGAGGGATTTTCTGAGGACTCCGGATGAATACTGGGAATTTCTTGTAATCAAAATGTTGGATATGTACGTCAAGGTCGAAGACGTTCCCAACAATGAGGTTGCTGACAGGTTCCGGATAACCCACAGTCATCGGGTGGTTATTCCGGAGCAGTTTTTTCCGGACAGGTTCCGGATGAAAGAGTTTTCCCAGATCTAAACTTAACACCGCCTGTTTTACATAATTCACAAGACGAGTGGTAAACTTCAATTTTCCTTTGTGTTACTGTTAGAGATAGCTATGTAATTGTCCCACATTGGAATAGGAGTAGTATCCCTTTTGTATAGAGTAGCTATAAATAGTACCTCTTGTATTGCATCACATACAATATATCAATATATATCATATTTTCTCTCGTGCCTTCTCACATGGTATCAGAGCTATTGTGAGAAATTTATCGCTGTGCATAAATTCCAGCGATTCCGGGAAGTAAAATCAGTCACCGGAAACCTTTTTTTCGGCGACTTTCAAAGTTGTTTTGCGTCTGTTTTGTCTCGGTCAGTGTTGTGCACAAAATCCAACACTACCACAAGAGTAGTCACTGTCCGGCGACCAAATCCCAGTGAAAATCTCCGGCGGTACTGTAGTTGTCCAAAGAAAATTTTCCGGCGAAGTTCCAACGTTGCGTGGGCCACCTTCCGGCCATTTTTTGACGACGACTCTTCAGGACAGATTGTTTTCCTTGCAATTCCGAGCCTACCCATCCAGGTTACACCAAATTCCGACCACTTTTTTATTTTTCCGGCGTGAATAGTGATTTCAAAAAGTTGACTTCCGGCCATTTTTTGAAAAAGTTCCTTCAGAACAGTTGGGTCTTCTGGTAATTCCGATCCTACCCCTACTGTTTTTATTTCATTCCGACCACTNTTAGTGATCCAAAAAAAAAAAAGTGGACTTCCGGCCATTTTTTGAAAAAGTTCCTTCAGAACAGTTGGGTCTTCTGGTAATTCCGATCCTACCCCTACTGTTTTTATTTCTTTCCGACCACCTTGAATATTTTCCGGCTGCAACAGTAACTTTCCAACTGCTACAATAGTTTCCTATTCTGGTTCAGTGTTCCTTACTCTATTTTCAGTGGATTACAGTTGATTATTTCTCTTATTTGGTAATAATTTACAAAGTGCCTTTGGGAATTGATGTTTTTGGGTCTAAAAGCATGAATTCTGGAAACTCTAATGTTATGATTACCTCGGAACCTTTAATGGGAGGTTCAAACTACTTAGCTTGGGCTTCATCTGTCGAGTTGTGGTGTAAAGGTCAAGGTGTGCAAGATCATCTGATTAAACAGTCTAGCGAAGGAGATGAAAAGGCGATAGCGCTTTGGGCAAAAATTGATGCTCAATTATGTAGCATCTTGTGGCGTTCTATTGATTCTAAGTTGATGCCTTTGTTTCGGCCATTCCAGACATGTTATTTGGTTTGGGCAAAGGCTCGTACGTTATACACTAATGATATATCTCGCTTCTATGATGTGATATCACGGATGACAAACTTAAAGAAGCAAGAATTAGATATGTCTACTTACTTGGGTCAGGTACAGGCAGTCATGGAGAAATTTGAGACATTGATGTCAGTTTCTGCTAATGTGTCAAAACAACAAGAGTAGCGACAGAAAATGTTTCTAGTTCTTACACGCGCTGGACTTCCTCATGATCTTGATTCAGTACGAGACCAGATTTTGGCGAGTCCGACTGTTCCTACAGTTGATGAATTATTTTCTCGATTACTTCGCCTTACTGCAGCACCAAGTCACCCAGTGATTTTATCACAGATACTTGATTCCTCTATTCTTGCATCCCAGACAGTGGATGTTCGGGCATCTCAAGC